AAGGAGTACCTTCACAGGCAGAAAGCAGACACCCTGAAGAAGTTTTTCGGCCTGCGCGAGAGAAGGCTGGCCGACTGCGCAATGGACGTTTACTGGGCCGATTATTGGAGCGGGTCACTGGGCACACATCCAGGGTCTGCAACAGGCAGCCAGACGCTGGAAGGCTTTCACAGCTTTTGGCAGTCTCTCTTGTCCAAGAGAACTCGCCAGAGCCCATGCAATGTACTTCAGATGATGCAAAAGCTCTTCACGGATCACTGGGGCAGCTACATGCGTGGAGACGGGCAGCCAGGTTCGTCACTCTGGCCAAAGTCGCCAGAGGCGGCCTTCCTCAATGGGACAGTGCTGCATGGACAGGGCATGAGTTCCGCAGCAGAATACTGGGCCCACCGACATGCCAACAACGTGCGCGTGATCGAGCGCGACAACAGCAAGTTCTGGGTGATGCGCAGCCAAGCGTCCGACACAGAGACGGCTGCAGCTGCAGCGGTGCAGCATGCAACGGCCAAGCACTTGGTGGATCTGCTGTATATGTCAGAAGCAGAAGTGCGCGAAGCCCTGGAGAAGGCGAAGATCATTGAAAAGCGGGAAGGCGCCGTGCACATCAGCATCTCGGAGCTGAACCTGTTGTTCCAAGCGCACTGTGTTGTCGTGGAAGGCGCATTGCCTGCCCAGTATTGCCCGAAGATACACGGCAGCCCGACAAGCAAAGGCAGACGCCTCTGCACTTGCGGCTTGTTCGTGCAGCGGGCCGAATGCCCGCATGTGTACTACGTGGCGGGCTTGAAGGACGAGCTAGACCTGAACAAGCTGCCTGAAAAACGAAAGCCCGGGCGTCCCAAAGCGGATGCGGCAGGCAGGAAGTCGTGCAAGCATGCCTAATGCCTAGCCACAGTTCGATCCCTGTATGTGACAGAGAGGAGCAAAGCGGCCGCAGTGCAGAAAGTGATGGCATCGCTTGTAGGAGGGCTTGCGTTTATGTCGCACCTCTGGGTCGCAAGACGCCTCGAAGGGCGCCCACAGTCTAGAACCGCAGCAACGAGGCAGCTTCATGCCATTCAGCCAGCGAAGTGTTCCATGCACGTGACTTGAGCGTCGAGAGGAGGAATCGAATCGACAGCATGGCTGCCGCTGCTCCTGACGTGCGTCTCGAGCCGGTGGCAGTGGAAGCCAGCATCTAGATGGAAAATGGCTAGTCTAGAGGCGCGGCGATGCGACCGATGTGCGTCTCGGGCGGGTGCTTGTAGCATGGAGCGTCTAGACGGAGATGGTTTTGATATATGCTGCGGTGCAACGGACGTGCAACGGTATGGCTGCCGTCTTAATTGACCGGGTGCTTGTGGAAGCGAGCGTCCAGAGGTGGAAGGGCTGGTTTTGCTGTGCTTGGAAGCCACGGATGTGCGTCTCGAGTGGTTGCTTGTGAAATTGACCGTCGAGAGGGTGAGTGGAGCCATTCCCCTGCGCAGACATCTCTCTCGTCGCGTGTCTCTGGCGAGAAAACGAGTGGAGCGAGTTTGCCTGCGAGAGTTGTGCTGAGCAGTTGTCTACACGACGACCACGTTTCAGAGGGCGTACCGCAACGAAAACTATACTCGGTCGGTGAGGTGAGCACAGGTACCGATACCCGACCTCACGAGGGTTCGCAGACGTGGGGTCTGCATAGAAACGGAACTTCATG